CAGCTGCCAGGCTGCTGCAGCCCTTCCCTCTTGAGCTGCTTCCAGCTCCTGCATTAAAGGGAAAATTGGATATTCCAGGCAGCTTTTTCTCCTCCAATCCTTTGGGAAGTGTCCTGATCCACCTTCTCCTGCTCCCTGACTATTCTGGGCTGGTTTTATTGCTGGTTGTTTGCTCTAAGGGGTTAATGCTGCTTTTTTTTTCCATGGATTTATTTTTTTTTTCCCTGCCTGAATAATTTCAAGTTTGCAACCTGGGTACTGAAAAATTTGCGGTGGGAAAAATTGGCAGTTTTTGTGAAGGGCCTGGGTGCTTCCAGCTGTTATATTTATCAGGGAATTGGGGGATTTTGTGTTCCATTTATAGAATCCCAAACTGGTTTAGGTGGGAAGGGACCTTAAATCCCATCCCATCCATGRCAGGAACATYTCCCACTRTCCCAGGSTGCTCCAAACTCTGTCCAGCCTGGTTTTGGGCAATGCCAGGGTGTGGTGGAGCCTTCACCAGGCTGGGGTAAATTCCCTGGCAGTGATTCAGGAGCTCCTGGAGGACACAATTGCAGTTTTCTCCTCACCCTGGTGATTCCAGCACAGTCACACCCGCCTCCATCCTATCCCATTTTCCTTCTCTGGTTTTTTTTTTGGTTTTTTTTCTCAGTGATTTCACTCTCCAAATGCATGTAAGGCTCCACTGGGATTTTTATTTTCTGGGAAATTGTTAAAGCGTGTCCAGAAGCGTCCTCAGCTCCCATTGCTGTGTTTCTCCTGGGAAGCACAACGTGGAGAGATTGGATCTGTCCTGAGCCTGCAGATTTCCTTGTGCCTTGCTAAGGGGAATTTTAATGAGAAATTCATTGAATATTTGATCTGGGAGGGATCAGGGCAGTGGCTGTGCTGGATTCCTGCTCATCCTGCTGCAGTTCCCAGGAGGTGCTGCCTGGAAATGGGGCAGGGTGATGGAGAATGCTGTGGGAGAAGGGAATGAAGTGTTTTTTTGGGGAAAAAACAGCTCCCTCATGTCGTTTGGTGCTGCCCCGTTGGAATGGGGACATGGAGAAGCAGAGGGTGGTTTTGGGCAGGAATCCAGACCCCTCTCCCCTGGCATTCCAGAGGCTGCTCCATGCCCTGCCAGCTCCCATCAGCTCCCAAATGGAGGTTGGGAGTGGTTTTGCCTTACACAGTGAATGCTTTGGAGGCTTTTCCAATGTTCCTTCCCTTTCTGCCTGCAAGGATTTGGACCAGGTCTGCATTAAGAGTTTGTGTGGGAATTGTTCCCAGTAACTCCAGTGGAGCAAAGGGAGCTTTGTGCTGGGTATGACCAGCAGCTCCTTCTGGAGCCCTCACCATCAGCCTGGAATGTGGGAATATCCCCAAATCAGGAACCTGGGCTGGTGGGGTTGGAGTGCACAGAATTCCCGGGATGCATCATCCTCTGAGTGCTCAATGCAAGGACATTTCCAGACAAACCTGAGCATCTTAATTTGGGGTGAGACACAGCCCAAAGCTGATCTAATGGATGTTGTTGAGYTCCTTTGCCATTCAGGGTCAGTCTGTGCTTTAGGGATCCCTTGAGTCACTGGCTCTGGGATATTTAAATCCCAAGCACAACAAAATGCTGGCAGCAGTGTCTCCTTCACAGCTTTCCCTGGAAAATCACTGTGCTGTCTGACTGTGGGGTGGGGTTTTTTTGGGTTATTTGGTGCAAGGGCAGAGCTCAGGGTAAGGACAGGGATGGAGATGGAGCTCCAGGTGCATCAGGGAGGGGTCAGACCCCGTGTGCCACCTCCGTTTGTGGGTTTGTGTATCTCTGATTGGGGTTAGGTGGATTGGAATCCCAGGATCACTGAGGCTGGAAAAGCCCTCCAGGATTATTTAATCTGTGCCCAATGCCCACCTTGTTCCCAGAGCTCTGAGTGCCCATGGACACCTCCAGGGATGGGGATTCCAAACCTCCCTGGGCAGTTCCAAGGCAGAAACTCGTGCTGGGTACCACTGATGCTTTCCCCCACCCTCCAAATTTCTCCTTCCTCGTGGCTCCTGAAGTGACCCAGAACCTTTCCTTCCCTTTCCCC